CAGTTTGTTCCGCGCACCGGCCACACCCGGAAGTGGCTCGTTCGGGAGCTGCGCAGCCGTGGCGAGCCGGTGCCAGGTACCGGGAGGTGGAGGGGACGGCCGTCGGCCGAGGGCGGGCGGGAGCGGGCCTGGTTCTAGCGGTGGTTCTGTGTTGGGCCCCGGGAGGCGAGGGGCCCGCCGGGATGCGGGGCTAGAGAAGGAGGGCAGCGGCCCGCGGCGAGCCCGCCTCCGCTCAGTCTCCCCGTCCTGGGGACCACCGGCCTCTGGTCGCTGCTTCCTCCTCCCCACCCACCTGGGGCGTTATGCTAATGAGGAAGTCCGGTTCGGGGCTGAGCGTCTGTTTGCCTTTTCTCTGCGTCTGGGAGGAGGTGAGAAGCCGTGGGGACTGCTGCTTTTCGGTTTTTCCATACCTCCCCCCCGCAAGAAAATTTTTTTTTCTTTGCTGCACACCCACTCAATTGCTTCTAACTTTATTTATTTATTTATTTTGCCTTTGCTCCCTCCAGCTTCTGACTCTGACTCCTCCCGTACCTTAAAAGATGCTGGAGTCATATGTGACTCCAATTTTAATGAGCTATGTGAATCGCTACATCAAGAATTTAAAGCCGTCGGATCTACAGCTTTCACTATGGGGTGGAGACGTGGTTCTCAGCAAACTCGAATTAAAGCTGGATGTGCTGGAGCAGGTAAACCGTATAGTCGTCATTGGCATTTTCAACTTGTTTAGTTGTAATCCCTTGTTTCCTGCTCTTTGACTTGATCAGGCTTTGAAAATGATTTTTTACCCCACTGCTAACATATCTTAAAGGTACTCGCTCCACCCAGTCTATTTCAAATCATTGCGACCCTATGTATATATAACATCTACCTGAAACTCGTGGTTTCACTTTACAGAACATCTTTGCTGGTTTGTTCCTAGCGATGGTTTGGGAGAATGGGATTCCTAGAAGGTACGTTGGTGAGAAAGCAATTTTGAGTTTTCTTGTCCAAATTGTCAAGCCTATTTACTCAAATGGAGTGCCTGGTGAGGTAGTGCTTAGCCTTGGGCTGTTACTACTAGCTCCCTCCAAGGGAGAAAGACAGGCTTTGCAACATGGTAAAGAGTTACAGTCTTGGAAACACAGTGGCAGCTCTACCCAGGCCTATCTGATCCCTATCAACACAATGGAAATGAGTTTGGCTTTATTTACTCAAGTAATCACCAAAAATGCTCATTTACATTGCAAAGGTTCTGCCTGAAGTAGGGAAAATTACCCCAGTTTATCTTTTGTGGGAATGGAAGGTCTCAGTAGAAGTAGCTATTTTGTAGCTATTCTCAAACTTCATTGGCCATTGCTCTGAGATAAGCAATGACCAGTGTAGTTTGAGAATAGTTACACAATTGGAAACTTTTTTCAATCACATCTTTTAAATTTCTTTTACTTTTTTGAACTTGAGGATGGTCTGATGCAAATAACTTCAAAGTTCATTCATTCATTCTGTACATTTATTACTAACATGTTAGGCTTGCTCTGTCTCTAGGATACAAAAAGTATGGATGAAAGCTCAGAAGATCCAGAGATCCCTGCTTTCTAGTAGAGTTAATCTGATGGTGGCGGCAATTTTAATTGCCTTCTCTAGTAGAGTAATCTAGAGTCAGCGCTAAGAAGTAGTTTTTTGGGCTTTCTTCCCTTTCCAACTCAAGGTTAGTTGTGCTTCTTAATGTTTTTATTTGTTTTGTTTATTGAGGCAAACATTCTAAGTCTACAGCTCAAATTTTACATGTGTACTTAGGAGACTGTCTACTCCTGTAAAGATTTACAGCATCCTACTCTGTCTTGTAGAGCCACTATGAGTTGGCATGGATTTAATGGCAATGGGATACACGTGTGTAACTACTTTTCAGATAAAGTAGCATACTTTTAGCACCTCAAAAGGTAGCCCTGGTGGCATTATGGGATAGATGCTGGGTTGCTAACCACAGAGTTAGTGGTTCAAATCCACCAGCCTAGCCTCTGTGGGAGAAAGATGAGACTGTCTCTCCCTGTAAAGATTTACGGTCTTGGAAACCTTATATAACAGCAGTTCTCAACCTGTGGGTTGAGACCCCTGTAGGGGTCAAATGACCCTTTTACAGGGTTCACCCAATTTATAACACTAGCAAAATTACAGTTATGAAGTAGCAATGAAAATAATTTTATGGTTGGGGGGG